ATACCTCCTTGTATTAATACATAAGTTTTTGAAATTTTTTTACTTTTACAAGTACTTGCATTGTGGAATATAAGCATACCATATGTTTTATACTTCCTTGTATTAATATATAAATTTTTCAAACTTTGTTATTTGTAGTTTCCATATAACACACTTGTTAAGAAGATCTTTAAGTACATTTTGTTCTAGCTGTCTGTCTTTTTGTGTCATTCACCTGCAGTACTACATTTTGGCTTCCCTTTGGAAAGATAACAGCAAGGTCATTTTTAGTATGTGAAGTTAAGCAGTTACTTCTTGAGGTAATGTCCTTTCACATTTCATTGAGAATGACCAGTAAAGTGGGTAATGCTAGTCACTCTGAGTACATCTGAAATTAATGATTTAAGTAAGTAACATTACATAACTTACATCGGTGGAAGTGGAAGAAGAGGCTGTAAGGACCATTACATAGAACATCAGTGGAAGTGGAAGAAGGGGCTGTAAGGACCATTACATAGAACATTGGTGGAAGTGGAAGAGGGGGCTGTAAGGACCATTAAATAGAACATCGGTGGAAGTGGAAGAGGGGGCTGTAAGGACCATTACATAGAACATCGGTGGAAGTGGAAGAAGGGGCTGTAAGGACCATTACGTAGAACATCAGTGCAAGTGGAAGAAGGGGCTGTAAGGACCATTACGTAGAACATCAGTGCAAGTGGAAGAAGGGGCTGTAAGGACCATTACATAGAACATCGGTGGAAGTGGAAGAAGGGGCTGTAAGGACCATTACATAGAACATCAGTGGAAGTGGAAGAAGGGGCTGTAAGGACCATTACATAGAACATCAGTGGAAGTGGAAGAAGGACTGTAAGGACCATTACATAGAACATCAGTGGAAGTAAGTAACATTATATCAGCCAATACAAAGTTAATCTTGTCTATGATCTGAACAGAAAGCATCTTCTAAACCTATGTCTCCAGTAAAGACGATTGTATGTTGTGGCAAGTATAATACCTTTAAACTATGTTTGTTTAAATATTATATATTCTGATTGTACATTTGCAGTATATATCTTAATGAATCATCCATTATTCTGTGGACCTACTTGTACCTATGGAGAAATTTATTGCTATCAGAAATTACCTCCACAAACTTTAAGTCAATCATCCTGTTTAAGAAACAAAACTGTCTTAAATAAACACTAGTCAATCTTTTCCAAATTTTAAACTTTTATCCTCTTGTCTTGTTATCCTAACAACATAGCATAAAGAAATGAGAGACTTTTAACTTTTTAATTCCCAGGATAATCTTGTAAATTTCAATAACATAACCTCCTAACCCTCTTTTCTCAATTGAAAATAGATGTAAAAAGACCATAACCTATCCCTAAAAGGTAATCCTTATATCCCTGGAATCATCTTATTAACCTCCTCAGAACCCTTTCCAATAAATCAATATCCTTTCTTACAAAAGGAGACAAACTATATACAGTTCAAGTGATGTCTAAATAATGACTTGTATAGACTATTAATCCATATGTCTGTAAATAAACTCCAAAATTCTCTTAGCTTTATTACTACCAACAAAGAACTGCTTTGATAGCTTAAGTGACTGTCAATATATTATGATCTTTTTCAAGCCACTCTACTCAGTGGGTTTCCATCTATATTAAATATTTGTCAAATATTTGTTCAACTAACAAATTGATCCAAGTCATTCTGAACTACTTCAACATTCTTAATACAATTAGAAATACCTAAGAGTTTAAAAGTGAACAGCAAACTTTAATTTGCTAATTGCCAAAGAAGGGTACTACCCACTGTCTGGAATGTACTTACCGTCCAATATAAAAATACAGGTAAATAACCAACCATACCCAAGAGGTACAAAAAAACCTCATCCAGGATCACAAAATCAAAAGGAAAGCTATATCAAAAAACCAATGTATACTTGAAAAGGACACCTATCAAGAAAGAAATTAGCAAACAGCCTCCTTGAATTCTATTCCACATCTCTCTTTTCTCCTCCTCTCTCTCTCTTATCTCTTCTTTCATTCACAATAATCCACAGCTCATACTACCCCTACTCAACTCAGTGTTCTAAGTTCCAAAACTATAAGCTCTCTCCTCTACCTTGTCTTTGATGGATGAAGAGGAACCTCTGTCCATAAATATTTTTGGGAAAATTCCCTACTTTAAAAGCACTCTCCTCTAACTAATTCACTAATTATACCTCTATCAATATCATTAATGTGAATAAGAAAACACAAAAGTCCATGTACTGATCCCTGAGGCACGCCACTAGCAACAAGGGTCCAATTTGGCTGTATTCCATTATTAATAAGTTTTACTTTCTCTCATCCAATCTAATACTATAAAACACAGTGCAGACCATAGTCTTTGACAAAAGGGCTATAATTAATCGAAACAGCTTCTGTAGTTCATCATGACATCTCAACTTCAGGGTGGAATAAAAAAGTAATCTTCAACTCAATATTAGCTTAGGGTCCTCACAGTCTATTTATCTAACTAATCTAATCTATGTGTAGATGGAATCACCCTAAAACACTGGCTTAAAATAATGTATACACAAAACTGAAATTAATTTTTATAAAATAAATTAACAGAAATCTTCCATTTAAGATTACTATTATACTGCAGCTACAATTTATTGAAAAGAAAATGATATATAACATTTCATTTGGCCACATATTTGATAAAGTTTAAGCAAAAACATTATTTATCTAAAAGGCCTTAGAAAAGTCAATATTTTTATTTATTTTTTACAAGTTTCTCGTGAACGCTAAAAATTTCCATGTAATTCAAAGCTTTAGTTGGTCTTTGTAAGTCCCAAAGACTTGTTTCTAAAAACAAACTCGAAACAACATATTTTCAAAGTTTCTGATACAACTAACACTAACATTTTGTACAGTTTAAACTACTCATGCAGATGATTATGTGGGTAATGAACCCAGAAGACTAATTTCAATATTTAATATAATTATAATCGGGCATAAATGAGTTTGATGATTCAAAAAATGAAGTGGAAACCCTTCAAACCTTGAACTCATTCACTGCTGTGATACAACTTTAATGAGAGTTCACTATATTATTGTAATGTCCCTTTAACAATAATTCTGAAGGAATCACTAATTCCTTTTTAGTTTTCAAAATAAACAATATGCAGAATTTAAAAATACTAAATCAATTGTAAATGTAAATTTTCAACTAACTATTAGTAGTTCTTTTGTCATTAGTTAAGCACAAAGCTACACAAAGGCTATCTGTGCTGACCCACTATATGCATCAAAACAATATTTTTAGCATTATAAGCCCTCAAACTTACTGCTGAACTGAACCCACTGGAGGTCAAATTGTAGTTTAAATAGAGTTTTAGAATCCCTACAGCCAAACTGACTGAAATATAAAAAATAAAATAAGTTAACATTTTCCTAAACTGAAAAAGTATTTCCAATAATACTTACCTCCACAAACACTGTAGCTATTTCTCAATGCTTATATACAGTACCTAGATAGAGGCCACATTGAAGTTGGTGGAGAATTTTGCAAATTAGAATTTGCCTAGGGCATTCAAGTGGGGTATAAAAGATGGAGCAAGTGTTTTCAGTGCTTAGATGGGCAAAGAATAGAAACCCTGGAGATCGAGAAATAGCTATAGTGTCAGCAGAGGTAAGTATGTTTCGGAATTAAAGCAAGTAACAATGTTAGGAATGCTGCATCTATATGATATTTGAGATATTTTAGTTTAGAATCCAAAGACATTTTTGTGTGCAAGTTTCATCAAACTATTTAAAATTAGAATAACATATACTACAGCTCTCAATACAACCTACTGACATCCTCAAAGTCATCAACAGTAAGGAGTTCAAATAATACACCAATTAACCTTTAAAACAAATGTCATTTTTCATCAGTGAGATACTGTCAAATCATTAATTAAAATATTATTCAAAATTACAACAAATTACTGTCAAATCATTAATCAAAATATTATTCAAAATTACAAAAATATTGAAGTTATTAAAAAAAATTAGTTAAAAAATGACTAGCAAATGAAACTTGTTAAATAGGTAATATTGTTGTCTAAATTAGAGGGGGAGAAGTAGTTGGATAATATTCAGGAGTGGTCAGAATTTTGCAAAATGTATCTTATGATATGAAAATTGTTCTTTAATTGTTCTTTAAAATTTAATTCTACTTAACAAGTAAACCACATGAAAGTATAACCAAATGCAAAAATGTTAACTAAATGCACTGTACACCAAGACATTTCTTAAAGCAACAGGTGCAAGACGACTGAAGTGTTTAACTTGACACTTACTTATATAACAGACTAACCACTCAAAATACTTAAACTGAAAAGGATCATTTCAACACAAGTTCCATAATGCCTCAAATGAACAGTACCTTTCTTACACTTACACCTGTGGCTTTAAATACGAAATACTGCAATCTAACTGAAAAATGTTAGTTTTTTTCAAATATTTTAATTAGGCTTCGACTTCCTTTGAATCCAAGTACCCATTTCATTTATCTATAATTTTTGTCAGCATATAAAATGCCTGTCTTAAAAGTGAATTTGGTCATTTCAGGGACTAAGGAATAGATGAATGTGTCCAAAACTGGAAGAGAAAAGTATTATGCTTCTCATACACGAAAGGTTAGGAAATGTACAAATAAATAAACAATTTTCTGACTGGATGATTGTCAATTATAAGGTTGGTAGGAATATATCTTACAGGCTCTTCGTTTATGTCCAAAATATCAATGATACAATACTAGATGGAAAAAAGTAGTTTAAAACAGCTTTCCCAGAATCCCTTTAAATCTGCTGATAGTAATAAAAATTTATTATTAGACATCTCAATCAAATGTATTTTGAACTTTCACTTATTAAAAAAAAGTAATGAAAAGATAAATTTGTAACTCACAATGAGAGGTCAAAAAGCATCGTTTTTTTCCTCAATATTTTCCCATTAGGAGTTCTTCCTTCCTTAAGAGTCAGACTGCACAAGTTCAACTGTAATTATTTTATATTTAAGATACATACTTTACAGCTCACAGTGGAATAATTCATGTGTTTGTGTTCCTTCTCAGAACTATAAAAATAAAGTTATGCTAATAACTCAAGATGTACAAGCAAGAAATATTAAAAGTGAAAACAAAAACTAAATTATCTTTTTTTTTCAAAGTTGTGCCTTTCCAAAGAATACAAACATTGGAATTTTGACAAATTTTCTTTACAGAAATAAATGTTGAATCTAACAAATCAACCAAACTACAACCTTAATAAGTTAATTTTGTTTTTATCTTGAAGTGTAAAGCAAGTGGATTCTTACCTTCATCTCAAATAAAAATATTCCAGTTCCTGCAATAATCACTTCACACGCAAGAAAAAGATTAGTCCTGGGACTACCAGTGTCCAAAACCGGTCTTGCAATTTCAGCAGCATAATGATAATGATACCACTTATTATAGTCCAACACGTGACCTACAGAAACAAACAGATATATACAATTAAAGTTTAAGAAATACTCTTTAACATCTGTTAACTTGTACATAAAAAAAGCACACAGAATTTCAAACACTTTAAACCCTAGTAAAAAAATGTACATCATAGCAATTAGTTTACTCAACTGCTATTATCTACTTTAATATACATCTTCACCAATTATCTTGCACTTTGTTTTTCATTGTAACTTGTCCCTTTTACAACACGTTATACAGGGGCAGACTGGCCTGAGTGTAAAGAAAGAATGAAGAAAAGGTTATCAGCCTGGTGATAAGTGCTTTCTCACTAAGCTGGTTCAATAAGTATTAAGCATATAGAAAACCTTTGCTTTGTGCCAGCCAGTAACATAAGCTGTCATCCAAGGGCCAGTCCATCACCTTAAATAAGCTAAGTAAACACTGCCTTGAAAAGTATAGCTTTCCTTTCAGTGCTGATCCAGTAAATATAATGAGTGAGAATCATTTACTTTGGGGTGTACTACTCAGTTGCATCCAAGACTGGTACTCAAGAAAAAAGTGGGCTGATCAATTAAATAATGTTTGTGACAGATGTCTAAATCTTTTGTTTTATCAGTTAATACTGTTGCACAGTTTACCATGACTAGGCATCAAGAAAGACAAACAAAGAATAAGTACTTTATTTAGGAGTAGTGTGAGAGAGAGAGAGAGTATATTGGTAGCCTTCAGTTAAACTGTAGCAGCCTGTGTTATGTGATAGTTGCATGTGTCATGCTAGCTTTAAGCAGTGCAAGGATAGAGTAATTAATATAATTTTAGTTGTTCTATTGTGCAGGTGTGAGTGTCAAATACATAATATAAAATCTAAGGACAGCAATTAAAAAAAACTATAAAAAAACTCAAAGACAACCCTTATCATTCAAATATTTATCAAACCTTCCCTAAAACTAACTGCAACCCTCACACCTGAAGGCAATCCATTTCAGAAGCCAACCACCCTGTTTAAAAAATAAAGTTGCCTTAGTTGAAGCTGTCTTCTTCCCTTCCAAAATCAATGTTTGTGTCCCCTAGTATTACCATTCTCACCATTAGAAAACAATGCATCAATACTATCAACTCCATTCATAATCTTAAACACCCGAATCAGATCCCCAATTTCAGAGATCTTAACCTGTCCATTTCAAGCATCATCCTAACAGTCCTCCTCTGAACCATTTCCAACAATTCAATGTCCTTCTTAAGAAAATACACTCAAGAATGAACACAATACTCCATATACGTTACCTAACCAATAATCCATACAATGAAATTATAACCTCTTTAGGCTTGTATTCAATATTCATATAGATACAACCTAAAATCCTATTGACTATTCCACTAGCAACAACACATTATTTGGATAGCTTGATTAACAAATCAACTATAAAAGCAAGATCCTTTTCTTCTGTAACACTGTTGAGTTTATTCCCATCAAAATTATACTCAAATTGTGTTATCCCACATGCATTACCTTGCATGTATTATAATTAAAGCCATATGCCATTATTTAACAAATTCATCAAATAATCCAAATCCTTGTGTAAAGCAGCATCCTCCTCCTCACAGATAGCAATACCCAAAAAAAAATAATTAAACATTCCTTCATCTATGTCATTGATGTAAATTAAAAATCAAAATCCCTACTGATGTACCTCACTTGTAATATTAATCTAGTTTTACTGAACTCCATTTACAGAAATCCTTCGATTTTTTTTCCACCCATCCAATTTTCTATCTAATGAATCAATCTATCCCTCACACCTACAGAGATAATTGTTTTAAGAAGCTGTTTACACGGCACCTTGTCAAATGTTTTTTGAAAATCCAGATACAAGAAACCCATACCTGTACCATTATGTACATAATCAGACCTCTTCAAAGAAATGTCTAGCAACTATTCAGGATGAAGAAAATTGGTTAAATCTTCATTCAGCTCATAATCATGGAATATGAGCCTTCCTTTATCATATCTCAAAGGCCCTACTTCCATCCTAACATTTTGCTTACCCTTGATTTATTTAGAGAAATCTTTACAGTTAATTTTTACACTTTCCATTCTTTTTTTTTGTTTTTTTACATACCCTTTTCAATTTCCCAATTTCCTTTTTGACCAATTTTCTTGATCTTTCATACTTTAAACTTCATAAATTTATAATATTTTCTTTAATTTTATCCCTTATACTGTACTTTTGTTAGCAAACTTGCAGTCACCCCTTTTATACACACACACAAAACATGTTTATCACAAATATTAAAATGTATTTAAATTTTTCCACATTCGATCAGTATCTCCAATTAATTTAATTGCCCAATTCACAACAAATAATTCTTGTCATAACCCCTCAAAATTTGCTATTTTGAAATTAGTAACCAAATGTCATTATTTCTTATCTCTACATGCAGTAAAATATCAAACCTAACAAAGCAATGATCACTTTCACACAGATGTTTCCCAAACTCCACCCTATCAACCATTTCAATATTAAAAGTTAACAATAAATCTAAAACAGTTTGGCTCCTAGTAGGTTCCCTCATCTTTAAATGGTGAAAAAAAAATCCTAAATGGTTTTTAAAAACCTGTCTTCCTTATGGTTTGATTTATCATTTCTCAGTGTATATGTCCAAAATTGAAATTCCTCATAACTGTGGCCTCATTAACAAATGAAATCTTAACCACACTGTAGAGCTGTTCATTAATTTCAACACTTTCATCTGGTGGTTTGTAACAACTTCCAACTACAAGGCTTCTACTATATCTACTAAGAGAAACACAGAGATTCAATCTCCTTGCTATTATCTTTGGTATCTTCAATGCATGTAACAGCTGAACAATCAGTCAATTTTTAAAGCTGGTAAGAAAAATTAGTTTTATATTAACATGTATTCTACAAAAGCTTATCATCAATCCAAAATATTATATTAGCCCATCATCTTCTCTTGTCTTTAATTTATAAGTTTAGTTTTATAATACTATGAGAATACAAAAACAAACAAAAATGCTGGATACTACATCTAGCCTAGCTAATCTGGACCTGTCTTGTTAACAGCAGAGAATTGGAAGCTGCAGTAAAGGATCCAAAATAAAATGGTATTTTATTTACACTGGTATATATGCAATTAGACATGATTTTGTAGAATCATGATATGAAAATGTAGGGTTTAGTCATCCAAAACCACCATATACAAGTTGTCTGCCAATAAATGCTTACCTTTAGGTTGCCCTGGGGGGATGACTTGGCATGAACTATAACTTATGGAATTAGACTATTATTAAATAACATGTCTCTGGAGGAAATGATTATTATTTGCAATAAGTTATTTTTGAACATCTTTTTACCATATGGTCTTGTGTTATATGTCGCTCTAAACACATATTACAGACCACAGACAGTGAAAAACAGCCACGAGTGTTTGGCTGTGGTCAATGAAATCAGACCACGAATGTAGTTCCACACTTACCAACAGATGCCACTGGTTGGAGTAACTCCTAACTCTCATTTTATCTGCAACTGAAATTGTTTTGAGTCTTCAAAACATGTTTAGAAAAATAATTTGTATAAAAAAAAAACTGTTCAATTCTAAAACCTAAAAATTTACCTTAAGAATATTTCATTTTTAGCTGCCTCACATCGGCTCATAGAATGGCTCCAAGTTTTTCAAGTACAACCTTTTAGCTTATAACTCTGTCATCTCTTAGCTTAATCGAGATCTAATTATAGTTTTGGACTCAGGAAGTCAAAATGCTAGGGTCAACCAAAATTTGACTAATATCAGAACTTTAAGTATTTATGTGGGTGTGGGTCAAGGATTCTTCTACAGTACGTGTCAGTGACACGTTGTTGATAAATTAGAACAATAAAAGGATTGCACGCACTCCACTTGTTCTACAATAATATATTCAAAAGAAGTTAAATGTATATACAAAAATTCTTTATACCATGGAGATCATAGTTGAATCTTAAACACTATATAATTCTCTTTTTCTTGTGAAAAGTCCACTTAGGCTGATTCAATTGCTTTAGAATCCAGTTGACAAGCCTAACTATTTTTCTCTACTTTTATCGCAAAAGTATCGGTGAATAATTCATTTATGCTGCCTCGTGGGTTACCACAGTTATATCCTGAACTTCCAGTAATTGTCTTCTTTCCATCAAAGTTCACACAGGCAGGTTCAATTAGTTTAGAACACCCTTTGACAACACAAATTATTCTCCTTATCTCTATCAAACTGTTAATCTCACTTTAACATATCAACCATTAGGGCTATTCACTCCCACAACAGTTAACTTCACATTTTCCAACTTTTCTCTGACTTAGCTTCTCTTTCACTTGACTTTACTTTTACTCTGCTCCCACTCATTTCGTCACTGCTATTTATATGTTTATCACTGAGGCCTCTAGAATATTCTATAGCCTTGACACTAATGAACAGCAAACACAACATAACGTAACTCTTACCAAGTTACTTAACCAAACTTGTCATAACTATTGCCTTTAAAGTAATTGCTTTTAAATCTCTGGTTATGAAAAAACTCCACAATCATTAAATATTACAAAATAAATTACATAATAATGGCTACACTCTGCAGTCTTGTATATCCAATGGCTTTTTGAAGCTTTGTACTGTCAGTTTCAGTTTTAGTGAACACTCCTGAAGAAACTGTAAAGTGACACATCGAGTGTCCAATTAAATAAAAACACTTTGGTATTACAAGTTCATTTATCTCTAGTATTAACATGTCTTCTACACACCAATATGCACTACAGAATTCAAATAATGAATAACTGTTTTAATTAATACTGATATTCAACCTCCATATTTGTGAATTTTAAACACTTGTCATTGATTAAACAGTTTAACCTTAGAAGACAACAGATGAGATGGTATATTTTTTTTACAGGAGGGACACATTTTGCCTGTCAAAATGTATACCCCCCCCCTTAAAATGGATACTTTGTCAATTATTTTCTGGTGTTCTTTGT